AACTAACGTTAGCTGTAAACTAGTCGACGATGGACAACTTCGAAACACCGTACGACGAAGAGGCTGCATTTATTGAATGCACGGTAAGATAGCTAACGTTAGCTCACATGCGAGGTACAAGACAGATGCAGCTTGGCTTTTATTACACTGTGACACGTATGAATATCTTTTAAACCAGAAATAAATCCTTCATGTGGGTTATAATCAGTTTTCGTCAGTTTGTGTTGTTACATACACGTACATATACAACATACAACCATGTAACTTATAACTGAGGATGGACTAAACACAGCTGGCAACATCCTACCATCGTACGCAGCTACGATACACACTGACTTGTGTTTTTCTCTTTAATGAAGGTCTGTGAGAAATCCATAAGAGGTGAAACCTTGTACAAGATACACCTGACTACACCGGGACATATAAAGGTACGAGCTTTATCTGTGAAAGGTCTACTCAACACTTAATGTAGCTCAAACACACAGTGAGAGACTTCTGGTTAGTGGTCAGTGAGCCCTTTACAGTCACTAGTGTTTTGTTTATTCTTTTCATTCAGCCACAGGTTTTCCACAGGTTCAAGATTTAACCTTTGCAGGAGGAAACGAGGAGTATCAAAAAGTGATATTTCACTATTGTTTGAACTCATCAGCATCATCTGTGGACTTTCTTTTCCCCTCCAGTGTGTTATTTCTGATATATTGCATGCTTGTATACCCTGTGACCTTACATACTTAATCCTGCCAGCCATCTTGGTATGCCAAAGTTAATGTTGCAAGCAAGAACCAGATCAGTGATGACAACAGGAAAGTTGCTTTACATTTCTTTTCTGTGTCAAACTTGAAATTCTGTACACGTTGGCATTTTTTCACGTGTCCTTTAAATTTTGTATCCTGGCTACAACGGCTGAGCAACTTGAAATTGTTCAGTCTCTTTAAGCTGCGACAAACAGACAAAGAAAATGAATGTTTGTCCTTGACCGTTGTGAAGCTCCTGGTGATTTTGGAGCACCGTGTCTTTAAAGAGCGTTCCTTGAAGTAAGTTCATGGCACCGGAAAAAGACAACATTTGGGTCCGACTGACTTGCACGACTTGATGGACGCTTGCCTCAGTGTAATGTCTAATGAGGACGATTGTGATGGAAACAGCTTTCTTGCAACAGCAGCTTGTTTCATGTTTTTTTTAAAAACATGCCGTGTAACTGCTCGCCATCACAACCTGTCTACTTTCGACTTTGCGTTTCAGTTCTGAAGCAGCTGTTTGTTTTCTGCAGGCCATCACCTATAGCCCCTTTTTCTTCATCCTCATCAGTCACGTTTTGGGACTTCAAGGCTTCAACAACACAGCTCGCGGCCGTGCTTCTTTCTCACGCCACGCCACTGGAATGGTTGTTGATGAGCTTTGTACATGACAACCAGAAGTCCTTGACACATTTACAAGAATATTGGGAGAGTTAAACTTGACAACCATCTCCAGTGAATCTGGTTCATCTAGTCAAGTGACTTTTACTTTGTCTTCAAGCCCTTTTTAAATGATTGGTTAACTACTGAGGCTGCCCTTGAGCCACTGTTTCACATGCACTTAAATAGAAACATGTTCTGGCAATTTTGTGTCTGCAGAGGTTTTTAAACTCTTTTTGGAAATTTGCCAGCTCGAGGCTTTGCAAGATTTCTGGACATCTTGTGCTTTGGCTTCCATTTGACCAAAAATTGCAGCGCTCAGTAAAGTGCATTTAAATTATATTTTTTTTTTACGTTCTACGAGGGAGCCAATCGCAAGAGATGGACGGTTTGACAACTGACTTAACACTCAGTGCCCGCCTCAGGCCTGGAGACAAATAATGCACAAGCACGGACAATGCTTGGACGACTAAGCCTTACAGGTGCTAATACTTTGTTCACGCTGTGTAGCAACAGTAACTTGGCAGCAGCTTCTATCATTTGTCAGTGTCTACACTGTGCTGGTGTGGGGTCAGCCACGTTTTGGCAGAGCTCAAGGCCCAATACACAACCATTGTAGTTATGCATTCAAGAAAAAGTAACTCGGACATTGGTCAGTGTCTTTTGGTTATCTTGGTAATGCTGAAGAAAACTGGATACTGCTTCTCTGCATACGGATATCCATTTTTACATTAAATCTTGTCTTTAAAAGTGGATACAACCTTCTCCCAGGAAGACAGCGTAATATATACAGTTATGGTTAAAACACACAGCCCTGTCTCCTCACCTACATTAGTTCCTTATGCACTAACTGAACACAACTTTTACTGCACCTCAAGTGAGCCGTGGTTTTGGTTAACCATTATGTGTTAAAAAATGATGTTTCCATGATATAATCCTTTCTCTGTTTGTAGCAGTGGTGAACTCTAACCAGTGTCCTGTTTACCCAGCACTGATTGACTTAATTTCTATTGCTCTCCTTTTGTTCCTGCCAGAAGGAGGATGGCCTTGTTGCTGCGGGTAAGTAGACGTCATCTTCAGCCTTGTCATTTTGTTCTGCTCTGGCCTTGAGTATATTTGCTGTCTGTTCTGGCAGGTAATTCAGTCCACACACAAAGGTAACAGAGGTCACTCTAATCGGTTGCCCGGTTTTAATGGACAGCAGTTTCATTCTAGATCGCATCTAGATCAAATCCTTGTGGAATCGTACCTGCCCTGAGCTCACTTCGAACGTCGAACACCTTTTGAGATGAATCGGAACGACTACCACAAGCCAAACCTTATTGCCCAACATCAGCACCAACCGCTCTAATGGTTTTGTGGCTGAACTGGAGAAAATCCTTGTAGCCAGTTTCCAAAATCTTGTGGAGAGCCTTCAGAAAAGGCGACGGCTGCTTATACAGCAGGTTAATGCTAGTGGTTTTCTAATGAGGTGTCCCACAGTCGCAAATGTAACGCTCGGTTGTCCACCTACATGTCATTTCATGTATGTTGACAGTGAATTTGGAGGGAGATGTGTGTCCCAGAGAGCCAAGATGGCAGCTGAACAGCTGTATAAATCCAGCACGTCTGATTGTCAGACTAATGGAGGTCTTGTCGTAAATGAAGTGCCAGAACTGGCACATCATTCTGGGTACTGGAACTGGCCAAAGCTAGCCGGAGTGCAGCTAATTGGAGGTCACTGTCAATTCAAATGTCAACATGGACGGCCTGTTGTGTTTTGGTCTTGTTAATAGTACAGAGGACAGGTATTCCACTGTGCACTTTGTGAGAGATGATTGCTCTCAGTAGTTGAATTATGTGTCTATAGGACAAGAGTCAACCCCCTCAGTGAGTGATGGATGGGCAGTGTTTTTCTTCATCCCTGCTATGGGCTGCACAAAGTCAGGTATTTCAGGTCTTTTACTGTCACAATGTGCACGGACTTATGCATAGAAATTTTGATTTTCACTTCATTTAGATGGATGAAAGATCCAGATTTCCCTCCATTTGGGCTGAGGCTCATGCATTTACCAGCCCGGAGAATGATGATAGAGCTACCAGCTGGACTGCATCCAGCCCCAGATTCACTGGCAATCTCAGAATTGGATGGCAGGTTAGCCGGGCTCGGTTCGCTGTGAGATGGGCTTCTTTCGCAGTGTGTAGCCTGATTTGTCAGTTTGGAGTCTGTGGACACAACTGGCTGGCTTTGAGAAAGCTCCTCCTATTCTCAGTGGTGCAGTCGATTGATTATATATGAATGGTTCTGTTTCATATTCTGCACAGGGAGAGACTGTGGACGATTTTACATTTACACAAGTTAGCCACCTTCATCACTGGGAGACTGTGTCTCTTGTGACTTGAGACCTGTTGTTGCACAGGCGTGTTCTCTGCTGGTGTCCTTTTGAGTTAGCACTTTATGTTATTCATAAATGTTACTCATTTACTCATTATTCAAATTGGTGGCACTCACACAAAACAGGGCGACAGAGGCCCACCGGTGCCTACAAGGCCGCCCCAACACTTCCACCAGTGAGTGCACCAACACTAGCCAATATCGCTGCTGTTCAACGCAGAGAAGCCGACGTGCGCATCAAATGTCACCAACGTGTTGTTTTAACTTTTTGTTAAGTCCACCTTAAAAGAAAAGTCGACAAAAGGTTTCCAGATGATGCCTGTGCATGTCACATGTGCAGCCTGGGGAAGAATATTCCAGTTTTACCTGTTGATGAATGTGGTCTACAGTCAAATACAGTTCAAATACTGTTTGCTTAAACTGAGCAAAGAGCTGTGACACACTGGAAGTGAATGTAAATGTTTCGTGAAAAATACATTTTCCTCTCCTGTTGGTAATGTAGGTAACATCTGCATTTAGTTGCTTTTGTCACAAGATGGATGTCACAGGAGGCTAAGGCCATAATGCCTCGCCAGGCCGTACTTTTTTCTGCAAAGGAGTGTTTATATTCCATGTAATCATCTTGGTCAATGTTTCTTTATTGAAGACATTCAAACAGCAACACAAAAGAATCATGAGATACAGAAGACAGCACGTTACGTTTGCTTCACAGAGATGACTTCTCTGATGATGTAAGTAGAGCAGAATTTGAGGGCAGTGAGTGTTCAAAGCTGAAACGTTGGAAATGTATACATAAAAACATGTATGGTTACTCATTTGCAGTAGTCAGGTTTCTGATATCAGTATGTAAACTGGAGAATTCAACCCTTTTGTCTGCAGCTCCATTAAAGAAAGTATTTGGTTATTAGGATCAGGTGGTTGTGACATCAAGTGCACATTTAAACAGCTAATTTTGCAAAGACGAAAAATGCATTTCTACACTTAAAGGTCCAATGAGTAGGTTTTAACGGCATCGAGCAGTGTGGTTGCAGATCGCAGCTCACACGCTACATTTCTACCCATAGAGCCTCCTAAATGTTACACACTGGACCTTTTAAGTTAGACCATGCACTGAACATGTAATAATTTTACTCTCTGTTGTAATGTTTTCTTTTGCTAACTACACGTGTTTGGATTTCTCAGGGATTGCTGTCAGACAGCACACCGTACCGGTATTCGAGGACATTTTACAATATCTGGATTACATGAAGCTTGATGAGCCGATCATTGGTACATAATGTCAGACCAATTTTTTTAATTTTTTTGTTATTTCCATGTGAATTTGACACCTATTTAACTTCTTTATGCCTTTATTTTCTTAGGTTTGAACTATTTGGAAGAAGTGCCTTGTAATGACCCACCAGCAGGCCCCAGATACACATGTAGGCTGTGTCATCAGACCGCAAACCTTGCAGAAATGGTCCGTCATGTGATTGGACGTAAACACCGGCAGAAATATGTGGTAAAGCATTGTAAACATTTTCAGGAAACTCCAGTGGAACTTTTTGAGTGTCTGCTTTGCTGTTTAGTTGAGTAACAGAAGTGAGAATACAGTACCGTTGTGTTTGTGTAGGAACTGAAACGGCCTGACTTGGTGACCTGGGATAAACAATCTATAATAACCCAAGGAGGAAAGATCATTCGAGCCAGAGCAGAGATAATAGAGAGACAGGATGGGCGAGGAACTCCAGTGGTGGGATATACAGATATCATTAACCAGACATGTTGAATATTATGAAATCATTTCAGAATCATAACATTTGGAGAGTAATATACTGTTTGTTTTATTTTATTTCAGATAATGGCGAAAAAGGGGAAAGAGGGCAAATTAAACATCACAAGAGGTACATTCAATAATTCCTGTGTTGTTGTAACACTGAAGAAAAACAGCCAAGAAAGTGTTCTCACTCTCAGAGCATCGATAGTTGCTGCAGAAATGTCAGGTTCAGAGTTTCATTAAAATTGATGGTTATTGCAAAAAGGTTTAGAAATACTCCTCATCATATCAGTACATGATGTACTCGCCTCATGCATGTTCTGAGGTGGATATGGATAA